GATCAAGAAACTGTGAGAAGAGGCGTACAGAGAGAAGTCGAGAGTTCTGTTGAGTGTGTCTTAAGTTGGAGAGAAATTAGCTAAAGGAGCAGAAAGTGCAGCAAGGTCGCGTCCGCGGGTTTCTTATTCCTACTAGTGGGGGAGGCACGCGTTCGGGTCGCGTCATACCACAGGCTGATATGACCAGTTACGGTTAGCCTGTAGGCCTGAGGCAGGAATGGGTTTGGGCCAGCACCAGCCCCCGCCTCATAAACCTAGTGCTTAATGAGAGGAGGTAAGACTGCAAGTGGCATCTGAATGGAGTGAGATTGTGATTTGTTTGAATTAAATGTTTAGTACGATATAGACTACCGTTGCCATAATTATGATCGATTAATTGATGTGTTAAGATATGTACACAAGGCAATTTCTTCTTGACAAATGAGATGAACTGGCGACTGCCAGTAGTGATAGGTGCACTCGCAAGACAGTACAGAGTAAAAATATGCAGGCGAAGAATAGTCAACGATAGTGTACAGTTGAAAAAGAGAGAAATTGGGCCCTGCAACGCTTCGAATAAAGCAGATAATGCAGAGAAAAAGCGAAAAACGAATGCAACACCGCCCAAGCGCCTTTGACACCGGTCCACTCTATACATTTTTGGGTATCAATTGCATGATTTGCTGGCTAAGTTCGGATTCGAGTCGAGACCGGAGCAAGACTCTGAAGAGAAAAATATGTGCGAGGATCGAAGAAGAAGTTACGACTGAGGTCTGATGGAGCAGTCGTAATAGATAGGTATGTGCGGATTGCCGATCAGATGCTCGTAACACGCTTCGCATACATAGTGCGAGGTCTTTGCTTGATGACCATCTCAAGCTCCTTCAGCATGTTTGTGTTTGCATCAGCACGATCTCGTAGAGCGGCTTGCCGTGCCCTATCTTCTTTGACACGGGCGATGCGCTCTTCTCTAGTCATAGATGCCCTTTTATTGCGAGGTGGAAGAGCAATTGCTTCGAAGATCTCCTCTGCGTCATCTGCATTGTGGATGATGAATGAATCAGGCCTTTCTCCATTCAAAGCCCTGAGTGCATCTGCCGGGCTCCCTTCAACAGCCGTGGAGCCCCCAAGGCTAGGGGTAGGCGACAGAGGGATTTTGATACCACTCGTAGGCCGCGAGTAGTCTGTGTTGGGTTGTCTGTCCAGTGCACTTGCCAGTGCTGACTTGCCCGCCTCCCATTCCTGAAGCAGACCCTTGATGTCTGCACCGATAGAATCATATTGAGGCACGAGGGTTGCCTCAAACTCGCTTGAGTCCGGCCGTTCAAGATTTGCGCTCGATGCCTCTCTGAGAATATGCATTTTTGCGTGCAGTGCCCGAATCCCTTGGGAAAGGGAGTTGATCCGACGGTACTGTGCACGAAGGTTGTCCTTGTTAGGCGAGGCGGTTGGTAAAGGAGAAGGAGGAATAGTATCAGCTAAAGCGACAGAAATATTAGCTTCAGAGCGAGCATTGTACCACGGGCACGCTTACTGTCTTCTTCGTTCAGAATGCTGGTCATTTTGTGGGTATTTTCCCCGGTCACGCTGGCCAGCTCACGCATCTGTTCGACAGCAGTGGTCCATCTCGCAATATCAGACCCACCACCATCGGCCCCAAGGGCGAGAAGACAACAGAGAATGCTCTTTCTCACGACATAGAGTCTTCCGAATAGCGTCCGTAGCGCACGAAGAGAGTATTGGTCCTCGGTCGCTCGGTCCTGGTATAATCCCTGTGCCTCCACAAGCTCTTCTTCAGAAATGTCATAGATGTCGTAATATTTGGCCAGGTTTGCGTCATCGGTAAGAGGCTGTAAGGTCTGTTGTGCTTGGAGGTATCGACCTAGCATAGAGTGGAAGGATTCGGATACGGTACGGCGCAGTCTCAAGCATCGTCGTATTTGCGTCTGGTCTTCAAGTCTGCTGATCGGTGGCAAAGGCGTGCTTCTATGGAGGAGGTCAATCAAGGCCAGATATAGGAGCAAAAGGAGACGGCCACCTACATGCGGTAGCCTCTCGAGACCAGCTCGACTTCCTGTATAAACACGACTGATGCCGATGCAGCAGAGTCGAATCCCTGAGCATTGCCTATAAATGTCGCCGCTGCATCTACAGCTTGGTGCCGCAGATACTTCAACCACTGCCTCTTCGCGAATGCGAAATAGAACACTCCGATGACGGGGACCAATACCAGCAGCACCCCGATCTTCCATGGACTGAGTCCCGATGCGGGTTTTGAACGGCCCCATTGTATCAACCAAGCAACAGAGAAAGATGTCGACGCAGTCACAAGGGCCCCTTGTAGGCCAAAGGTCGCGGAAATCGAGGGAAGATCGGCAGGTCGTGCAGCAGAGAATACATCCGTGGCTGAAGTATAGGAAGGCGCACTGTGCTCGTTCAACAATTGAGACGCGACGATCACATAACCGAATTGTTCAAGGAATCGCTCGTTGTCGTTTCGTCCGACGCGCGAGTTCAAGGCCGACTGCAGGGAAAGGATTCGGGTTAGAAGTGCTTTCGGCGCAGGGAACCTCATGAATAAGCTATGGCGTCATACCGTGCAGGCATCATAGAGTTTACCCAGAGTTGCCCTCTGTCGCAAGACCTTCTGATCAAGTGGTTTGGGAAGTTTATTCCGAATGCGCTCCTGGAACTTTGAAGCCCCTCGTGGGGCGAAATCCGCCGCGGTGGAATCGGAGAAATCGTCGCTATGCTCGGTCTCCTGAACCGGCCAGTTTGCATCGTGCTCACCCTCCCCTGACGTGACAACGAATGAGACCTTGGAACTCCCACGAGGTGGATTGAGATCAAACTCACCTTGGAGATATTCAGCCAAGGGCGAGTTCTCATAGACAAGAGCTTCCATGATCGGTAAGCATTCCGGGGACGCGAAGCGGGTGAGGTGGAGCGAAGCGACGGTTGAACCGGGAGGAAACGCAGGTCGGGTGTCTCGAATACAGATAGGTACAGTGTATCTCCAGAATGACCAGCGGATAAGAAAATGGGATTATCGCAGGCCCATCTCCGCGACAATCCAATGGGGCGCGTGGTAAAGTCGAAGGAGAGGGAGTCAGGCAGAAGAATAATGAATAATGATCAGTGGAATCCGGTCGGGGGCGAGAGGAGGAAAGGAAAGGAAACGGGAAATGAGCGTGAACGGCACTAGCAATTGGAAGTGGTGGAAATCGAGGTGTGTAAGGGAGGCTGAGTGGATACTTTCAAGAGGAACAGGAATAGACCGGACGACCGGTGCACTTTTAATGACGGAGAAAGATATACATAGCACGGATTACCCCTGGCAGATGGAGACCCGGATGTTGGAACGGAGTGCACTGTGCAGCTGTGCAGAGGTACGGAGTTGCCAAAGAGGCCAAGAGGGCCACGTTGGAGGATCAGACCATGTGTTGTGTAGTGCCAGAGTGAGTGAGAGTGCCTGCTAGTCTGGGGAAACTCGACCGCTGAGCTCTCTTCCAACGCAACTAGGGATTTAGGCGCCCCCCACCAGTGCCACCACCGATTGATGCTCTGCACGAGAGGTCGATCCGGCCGAATTTGGTTGGTACCTAGTCTTTTTCGTTTTCGTGTTTTTTCTTTCTATTTCTCATTGAGATGAGGCTGTTGACCCTGCGCAGCATTTATCCTACCGGAGTTGAATGCAATCTCAGCTTGTGAACGACTAGGTTATGAGTACAACCCCCTGACCGAGGCTCGGAGCTTTGTTATGCAAGTCATTAGTCCGGCGTTGGAACTCAGCTGCCAATATATTATTCCCTTCGGCCTATTGGTACACTTGTTTCATATCGCTCAAATCGAGGTAATACGCGGAAGCCGCCGGCTATAACTACGGTCCATCAACTAGCGACAGTAATGGTCATATTCGCGTCGCCTAGCGTTGACATTAAAGTGGCCCATTCGCAACCCATACTCCCCTATTATAGTCAGGTCAATACGTTTACGAAGTGCTCAATAATTTTTCATCATCCAACAAGACTCACAAGGTCGCCATCTTCGCCAGGAACATTGACATTGATCACCATTTCTCTAGAGTTTTGAACCATAGCATACTTTCAGGGGGTGTAGTGTGGTGAGACACAGAGCACGAAAATGGTCATCTCGTTTTTCAGAAACCTCGGCAACCCAGCTGTTCTTCCATAAGGGCACCGTATGTTATATGTTGAGATTATAATCGTCATTGCCTTGCTCAACGCACATGCATGCGAAGGTTCATAGGTGATGACTCCCTAGTAGTCCTGGCTGGAGCCGACTTGCACAGGGCTCGCCCCTTCCCCGGAATGATGCACATGCACCTTGACGTATCCTTGCATTCTTAACTTTAATAATCCTCAATGTATCTCACCAGTCGGGATCATAATACCGAGTTGCCTGAGATTCAAGCTAGGTTGAACTGTCATGAGTTGCGCGACCGCTAGTAACCGTGTTGGTCTCGTCCATACGCTTGCCTACGAGACATATGGGTGACGGAGGAATAGTCATGTTGATGGAGTGCCGTCTTTAGCGAGTCACGTACAAGGGAATTTGTGTACAGGACTATTGGAGATAGGTGCGTACTATGAAATTGGCTGCATGACATAGTAAAGGGCTGGACTAAGTGTGTCACTTTTGATGCCTCAGGTGTCTAATCGCGTTGCGCCGGCAACTCACCTGTCAACACCGCGTCTCCATACCTCACATCCAGACCCATCTCGTCCCAAACTTCATTGGATTAGCTTCCTATTCGCCTCCAAACTAGGGAGTCTGCCATGCTCTCCGAGGTGTAATCGCAAAGTTTCTACTAACATATACTTCCTCCACTCGACGCGTTACCCATCGACGCAAGGCTACCACCATATATTTCCGCGATCAAGCATGTTGAGCCGGCTGAATTCCTAGAGCGATTCGAAAGTGACTTCAATCTATCACTGCCATCAATACGTCTCAACTCAGAAACAACGGGTATCTTATCTGCTGCCTTTGAATACCAGGATGTCAAGCTACATCTATGATGCCGTAACCCCCTGCCCCTCGCGACAGGAGACTTCGGGGCTCAATCGAAGCAGCATTAGGGGCTCGTTCGATGGTCTGTGGGACACCAGCATCACCAGTAGTGACTCCACCGAAAAGATCGACTTCACGACCGATATTAAACCATCAGTGCTGACGGGCGTCAAGCCCAGGCGCAAAACTCGATCGAACGCGTCCTTCCTGATTCACGACGAATCCGAGGTAGACTCCGTGCAAGCTGCGCCTGGTTTGAGAAGGGCACCAAGTACCGCGACAACCATCGCTTCGTCTCACAGAAAGTCCTTGCTCGCCCAGCCGGCTCAGAGGTTTCGTCCTAAGGTTAGCTATGTCGCTAGCCCACAGAGAAACTCACGGCCCATAGGAGTCGTCACGTCAACGCAGCACAGAGAACGGGGCCAGGAAGAAAACAATGAGCTTTTGCTGCAGATAAACGGCGCGAGACAGAAGCCTCAGTCTGGAGATGCACTCAAAAAAGCCGTTCGACGCAATACGGTCTACATACCCCCAGATGATACCACAGTTGCGAGCGTGTTCATGGGTCTATTCAGTCCCCAGAAAACCGAGAACGTTGAAAATCTTCTTCGAGAGGACACACAGATCAATAGCCTGGAGGCACAGATCGCACGGAAACGACTGGCTAAACGGTCCCTCAACTCAGCGGCGCAGCGGGCGCCGTTGAATCCCAGCACGAAAATTGCACAGGGTGCTAATATCCATGTCGACGTGCCTGGAAAGAATGGTGGGAAGGAGAATATACCACCTGGATCATTCTTCATTGATAGTAAAAAAGGCCACCAATCTTTGAAGACCAGAGAGCTCTGTGAGCGCAACCAGGCTGTTTTTTCGAGTGGGAATCAAACTCTCAGGGCCAAAGCTGCCTCAAAGCCGACAAACTCGGCGCTAGCTTCCAAGACAAACAATCGGATTCTTAACAAGAATCAGCCCGAGCCAGTCAAGAGACATCCAGTGAACAGCAGGAAACAGACAACGTGTTTCAACCACGAAACCTTGTCAGCCAAAAGCGATGAGGCTCCCATATCAGCGCGGAAGACCATGATGGCAAAGCCCAGAGCCCCACAGGTTCTGGAAGCGAAAGAGCTCGCAAAAAGTTCTTGTATCATCCCTGACAACATCACGAAGCCGGAACTGTACGAGGATGACTGGCTTGGGCACCAGGAGGTTCTATTGACCCAGCTTATGAATGAGTTATTGGACACCAGTAATCACAACGCCGGTTGTGTCGATGCTAGCAAACTCAGAAATGAGCTGCTAACCTTATACCAAGGTGCCTCTTTTATGCAATTGCAGAAACGGCTGAAGGCATCATTACTCTATGGTGCTCTGAGCCTGCCAAAGGATGTGCTCAATGATGCCAGCAAATTGTATCGAGATTTGGGTCTAAAGCGGAAATTCCTTGACTTTTGGATCCATACCTACGACTCGCAAACTCTCAGAGCAGCACTGGAAGTGATTACTGGGAGAGCGATTCCAAATTCGAAGCTGGCGGCAGGCATCGGCAACATTGGCGGAGAAAAGGCAATGAAATGGAAACTAGCAGGCTTCTTGGATGTTCTCCTTTTGCAGAACCAGGATATGGATCGACACCCACAAGACCGGGGAGGAGAGGATGGAGACATCGCAGGACGTGCATACCGTCGAACCTTTCTCCGGAGCATCATGATCATTGTTCTCCTGGATCAAGCAAAGCAATGCTCTGAGGTGTATCTACCACATCTCCTTTTCCAACCTTCGTCCTTGTACAAGTCCTCCAACGCTGTCTTGCAGGCACTTGGTCAATTGTTATTGCCATCGTGTGGCGACATCATCAAGGCGCTGTATCATCTTGATTGCCAGTTGTCATATGAGCAGCGATCCTTGGTGGAGTACCAATTTGGGATTAACAATATTGCTGTGGACCTGCGCGATGGAGTGAGATTGGCACGACTTGTTGAGTTATTGGTTTTGAAGTCAGTCTCAGTTGGAGAGTCGGAAGATCAGATCCGGACATTGTCCAGCAGGCTTAGGTTTCCCTGCATGGGACGGGCAGTAAAACTGTTTAATGTGCAGATCACCTTGGAATCACTGTCTTCGATGGACGATACAAGGAAGCTTGTCCACAATCTGCGCGCGGAAGACATCGTGGACGGACATCGTGAGAAGACTATCGGACTACTTTGGGGGCTCGTCAACACTTGGGGTCTCGACAGGCTTTTGGATAGTCATGGATTGCGGAGGGAAGTTCATCGATTGAAGGCGACCACTTCCCGATTTGACATTGAGGATCCCGAAGGTTTGATTTCAGCTTCTTTGGGCATTTCAGGAGGCGAGAACGACATAATCAGATCATTGCTCAAACAATGGGCGAGTGGCCTAGCGGAGAACAATGGGCTGCACCTTGAGAACTTCAGCACGTGCTTTAGCGATGGGAAAATGTACGAGTGCATTGCCAACGAGTACGAGGGGCATATGGTTGCCGATGCTCAATCCTTGTCATCGACCCTGGAGTCTCGCCTTCAAGCTTTTGGCTGCAGTGCGCCGCTTGGTGAGTTAATGGCGACCACCCTGATCGTTTCTGCAACGACTAACCAACCTTTAGTGAGACTGATATGCCCATCTGCTTCTGGTGCTCATATCCCCGACGCCGACTTCACGATCGGAGTCCTCGCCTTCCTCTGCTCTCGAATATTATTTTCCATCAAACGGGCATGAAAAGCTTAGGTAGATGCATCGCAACATCATTTGGAGGGCGGACCTCATGAGCAGCAAACAGCAAGCGAGGGATTCACTACTTTGCGCATAATCTGCTGAGCGCTGGAAAGAACAGAACTGAGTCGTTAGGGTAACGAGGAGTTTACCAGGAAGTTTGGTTTTATTTTCATAGGGGACTCGCTCCAGCCACCTTCACCGATACCAATATCAAAGTCAACATTTTATGCCGAATGTTTAGGAGCTACAGTGCAAAGCAAATACTCCAAGTTATAAACTCGTACAGATGGGCCATCAAGATGGGCATATGGCGCCTTCTATCTGCCAGGCCCTGATACACAAACAGCGATGGACTTAGCGGCATGGATCTATAGAAGAGATAGTATATGATTTGAAAGCATGACAGTACAGTACTCAAGGCTCATCTGTGTCTCAATAAACAGACCCCGGAATGGTCTTCCTTCTCTTCCCTCCCTCTTCATAACACCAGTCGATAGAACCATGCTATCCAGAAAGACAAGTACTCCACCCCGTATCTTTGCTCCCATCTTACTGCCTAACTCCCGGTCCCTATAGCTTAGGTCAGACCTCGCTCCCCCAGCATCACAAAGCACCTTCCTCTGCCCCGGACATATACAGCCGACGAGCTATATCCTTGAATCTGATCAGCTCAACGGATGTCGCGTTGCGCAAGGCCCGAGTACGGCCCACGCTGATTGTGAATCCCAGGTGCCTGCCTACCCACACAGGGAACGCAATGTTGATGCCTACACCGTCAAACCTGTATCCATGGGGAGCAGGCTGCAGCAATCCGGAGCCATTCTATAGACAGCACAGCACAGCACAGCACAGCACAGCTTCCATATCACACCCAGGTCAGCCAAGCATTTCCCTTACGTGGGTCGTTCAACCGATGATGCTATCCCAAGCATTCCGGCGTGGAAGGCTTTGCGTCACCGGGATTGGCAACTCCTACTTTTATCGGACGAAGGAGTTCTGCTAGCAAATGCCGCCGAATATCATATTATATCATATCCCCAACCTCCGTGCGCGGGCCTTCGCAGCCGGGATCGTTTTTGAAATAGTGAAGTAACGAAACTTACGGTGGTAGGCCGTGACAGAACGGATAAAAATAGGAAACAGGAAGAAGCCTATAGGTAATTGACGGTCACCCCTTCAGCCCTGTCGCCTGTTCCATCATAGTAATCACTACTAGGAAGTCTTGCTAAGGGCTAGGATCATCGCCACGGGAAAGATACGGGGAGGCCTGATGGGGGATGACATCACAAGGTCACATCTTTTTTCCGTCCGTGTTGTGGTGAATGTGATTTGTTTGGGTGGGTGAGTGAGTGACTGGCTGACTGACTTAATCATGATTACTAGGGATAGTAGGAGGAAGTATAGGGTGAGTGAGTATGAGTAAGATAACTAGTTCCAGCTGCTGATGATAAGCCGGTATAGCCGGAGATCTCAGCCACTGATTGAGAGTGAGAAGGCTGCAAACGGTGGGTGGCAGGGCGATGACGTAGCCTTCGCTTCTGCTTTTGTTCGGCCCCGAAAATATCCGGACTGTTGTATCTACTTGTCTCGGTATACATTCTCTTTTCTCACATCTTGGTGTTTTCGGGGGGGTTTGATTTGTAAATGAATAAGATTCTGGCATAACCTCAGCTGTATAATGATATAATCCACAATGACTATCAATGCGAACAAACTTGAATAACAGGTCAAGTGACAAATGCGGGGAAAGTATGAGCAACAGAGAGAGAGAGAAACACCCGTGACATTCGAGAAGTTTGCCCAAAAGGGAAAGTAGGCAAAGTCTCCAGCTCAGCTGGCACTGAGTGCATCATTGTGGAGAAAACTTGACCTCTCTCACTCTCTAGGCGGTCGGAGCTTCTCTCGCTGTGTCTCTCTTGCGCTCTCTCCTTACAACCCGACATTAGCGGCCTGCACTCTACTCCTTTGGAACGTTGGAGGAGGCTTGAGTTAAGCTACCTAGCCACCCTCCATCTCCCTCAAATGTGTATGTACCTGTGCTGGATCAACCTTATTTGCACGAGCCATCATTGGACAAGATACAGATCGCCCGCCTCATGATCATTCCCCCCCGTCGTGTCGATCGCTGATGCGGAGAGGAACAAGGTAGGTTGGCCTTTGAATATCATCCGAGCATGCATTGTGAATTTACATTGCACTCACCACACGGCCGACGGGCCGATCAGTCAAGTCAATTCACTCAATCAACTCGGCTCTTGAGCGGAGATCCCAATTGCTTTCCATCTCCTCATTCCTTCTCCTCCGTCTTCCACTTTCATTTGGGTCGCAATGGACGGCAGTGCTGGCGACGTGGTTCTTGGCGATTGATAGTCCCTGAGACCATCGAACGCATAGCCTCATTATCTGGACTGCTAAAAAGCAATTTCTGGCTCTGCACGGTATCCATCCGACGTGTTCCTGTTCAATCGTCGCGGTGCCAAGAACCAGCTATGCATCACTGAAGCAGATGATCGACGGCGATCCTCGTCCAAATCAGGAACTCCCGTTTCTCCTATCGCGAGCGATTTCTCAGCCGAACGGCCTCCCCTTGTCCTCCCTCCACATCGGTAACGTCTTGGCCAGACAGTGCAAAAGGCATTTGGAATGGGGTGGGATCTTGGCATCGCTTGGCCGCGCGACCAACTCCATCTGAACCGTCCAGCAACAAATTGCACCGAGTAAGGCAAGGCAAGGAGAGAAGAAGGAATGCGATCGAGAGCGGAGTACGGGATAAGTCGGTAGCCGCGGGAGGGGGAGGAGGTGTTTCTATTAGGGAGCGGGTTGCATCCTCAACCGGCCAGACCTTTCTTTTCCCGCGGCGGTATCATGGCTGTGTTCTCTCTTGGCAAAGGTAAGCTGCTCCGGTCGTCACACCAGAGGGGGGGGGGTGGGAAGGCGAAGTCATCAGACGTTGCCAAGCAATGCTGTGGAATGTTGCCGTGGCCGGTCAGAAGAGAGAAGTTGAGTAAGGGGCAGTCGGACGGGGGGGGGGGGGCAGTCTTTGCTTTTCAACTCCCAGAGCAACTGCCGCCAACTGATCGCTGCATGGAAAGGGACTCAATGTTTCCCCCCTTGGCGCTCTTGGCGGAGGGGTCTTGGCCTTCTCAGTCGGGAATTCACTGAGAGGTGCGGGTGATTTTCTCTCTACCCCTTGTGTCTCTCCCTCTCCAAATGGGGGAGGACGGACGATCACAAGACCCGTTCTATGCTATGTACGGTCTGCGGAATCCCTCCCTGGGGAGAATGTCATCACCTTCTCCTTGCCCTTTGGTGGCATTGGCATTGACACATTCCAGATGGTTACCTACTATGGTAGGATTCCGGACGTGCAATTGGACCCGGCAGGTCGGTCACCCAGGCTTAGACTTTCTAGACCCTCTCTCCTGCCACGGCTGCCCCTACGATTGACGCCGAGTTCTGGACCCTCAAGCAAGGGTGAGGTGCCCCCCATGTGCGACTTGGGTTGTTGACCATCACTGCAGCAGCGGCATCTGGCCCAGCAGCCCAAGCAACGATCTTATATTCCGTGTATCCAACTTACTGTACATGGTATGGTATTGTGGTTACGGCGAACGAGGGCCAGGCCGAGCTTTCACCAAAAGTACCTCCAAGGTGCAGAGGTGCAGCATGGGCGGAATTCCGAATCCTTCCATGAAAAGAATCGAACATGCCACCCATCTGGTGAACTCGGAGAGACAGGTGCGGGTTGCAGCTGCCATGACGGCAACCTCGCATACGGTACATCCGGTCTGAGTGCGGGCTAAGCTAAACTTGAGGGAGGAGGGGGAAGAAGCAAGTACGAGGGAGTTCATTGAATGATTCGACGATTAGCTCAAGAGTAAGAAAACGCTCGGACCATCTCCCACCATCCGCGGAGGAAGAGAAAGAGGGAGTGGTTTAGAGGGCAATATGCGCCGGGTCGGCCGACCATCAGACACGCAGTGATTGCCGTGCCGGACGGCGTGTCTTGGGGTTTACTCGATCTGGGGCGTCGTGCATCAGGAGGCAGAAGCGCCGGCGCAAATCCGCGAACGACGTTCTTCCGTTGCCGGTGGAGCGAGAGGGAGAAGGCGAGTGAGCGAACGAGCCAGAAAAGTAGAAACGAGGAGGCGAGAATAGGGTATAGTAAGCCATTGTTAATGGTGTCTTCCCTCCACCCCCTCTCTGCCTCTTCCCCAACGAACTCCTCCGGAGTAAATGAAACGACTGGGTGCTTTTGTGCAGTGCACACGGGGCTTAGTCTTACTAAGGTAATTAAATCCCTCATACATTTTGGCCCTTGGAGCCGACGTCGGCCGTTCAGCAGTACGGAGTACTTGGCTGCCTTCTGGTCACCTGGACCAATAAGATATGACATATACGCCCCCGTTCGTATGTATGAGATGCTGTAGTGTATGCCACCATGCCTACTTACTCCCCCTTAGGGTGGAGGGGTGGCTGCTCCGTACTCGACAAGAGCCCTGTCAAGTGTGAGGTTATGCTATTCTTATCCCATTGAGTGATGATCCGGGAACGGGTCTGAATATGTATAAGGAGTGGATTATACAGGGGCAGCCATCATCCCTCACACTATACTGGTGTGCACAAACTCGAACAAGGTGTCAAAAGCTACAGGGGTAGAAAAAAAAGTACAGTACTGACCCTCCTCTCAATTTCCACAACAAACCACTCAGACAATCGCAATGAAGACTCTGCTTGTTTTTTTGTTCGATTCGATTATGCTTGATTGATTGATTGCTTGCTTTGCTTTGTTTGTGTTTGGAAACACCGTCTGTTGTCACTTGATTTTCAGTAGCAGTGTAGACTCGGGGAATCCACTTTGCACACGTACGACGTGTTGTTTATTTTCCGTTGCTCCACTACTCCGTACTATACTATGGAGTGCAATGGTCCGATGCACTTGAACCCCCTCCCCACCCCACGTCCTGAATCCTTCTCCGTCTCCCCTCTCAAGGCAATGTCAT